CTTCTTTTAAGATCAATATCCTAATCAAGAAAAAAAGATTGGAAGCCAGCCGCTCCATCTTGTTTGCACTCTCAACATCTAACACGGTCCTCCATTTCAAGATGTTAATTGAACCGACCATTTCACCATTAAATTTTTATGTGCTGTTATAGTCGCTTGAACTACAACCGCAATTCTACAAAAATCCGACACGAACTCTTTCCAAGAATGTTCTCTGAACCAGGGCAACTTTCATGCTTTTCAAACACAATGTGGTGCTAGTATGGTGCGTGAGTACATTTGCATGGAGGAGTGCCTAGAGAGAGAGAGAGAGAGAGAGAGATTCCAAGAAGCTTTAATAAAAAAGATATGCAAGGGGAATGTGACAAATTTAGTCCTGTGAACTGTGGCATGGAGGAGGGAAATATTTCTGGGGGCACCGGTCAATTTTCGAATGAGCAAATCCCAGGACCATGGGTCTACTCATCTTTAGAGCTGCTTTTCTTTGGAATGGTGGAGCCTCATTTGACTCCACTCCCATGAGAGAAAAGGAAGATAATATTTTGCCGAGAGAGAGAGAGAGAGAGAGCCTTCCGTGTTTTTGTTTTTGTGTGCGTGGAGTGGGGGGAAGAAATCATTCCCTATTAGAATGAGAGAGAGAGAGAGAGAGAGTAGGCTAAGTTCCACAGAGAGATCTTTCCCGATGGGAATAGCCCAAAATTAGGCTACGTTGCACTTCCCTCCATTCCACTGATTTAGTTTGATACATTCAACATATATTCAAATCCTTTAGGAGAAAAACAAACTTTTTGTAGTCCAAAAGCAGGCTGACCTGTAGTCCAGTGATTAGGGGTTCTATTTTCCTCAACTATATCCTTGTAATTTTCAAACATGCACCAAAAAAGAATGAAAATTTCAAACCAATATTACTTTGTCCATTCTCAGAAATAAACCAGAAAATTTCAGAACATGCACCAAAATAGAAAGAAAATTTCAAACCAGCATCTGTTTGTCTGTTCTAACAACAAAGAAAAAACACTCAGTTCTTTTTCTTTTCTTTTTTTTAACTTAAAAAACACTCAGTTCATTATGCATTTAAAATGCAAAATGATCTAAACTTTCAAACCTGACCCTTGTATAACTAAGCAATAAAGGAAAAAACAACAAAAAAAAAACCAAAAGAGCTGAAGAAGAAAAATATGAGAGGGTTGTTAGATTTTCTATATATGCCATTCTCATGGCCACAGGATTATTTCTATGATATATGATGGATCCCTAACATGGTATCAGAGCCAACTCCTAAATTTAGCAACCTATTTTATGTGGAACATTTTAATTCATTCATGACTCCGTTTTGGCCAAGAACCTGGTCATTTTTGTGGAGGAAATCAGAAAACCAGTTGGCTGACGCTTTGGAATGCCTAGTCAGGCCATCCTTGAAATCCACATACACCAAACCGAAACGCTTTGAATAACCCTGTGCCCACTCAAAGTTGTCCAGAAGTGACCATGCAAAATACCCTCGAACATCCGCCCCATCCCTACAAGATCAGTACAATTAGCACTAACACCCACATGTATAAATGTGTGCATGTGTGTGTGTATAGAATTTATTAGTTCAATTAGACGTGACTTACATCGGGCTGTAAATATACACACCTCATCTAGGGATAGCAATCTTTCATGTCATTGTTCATGAGCTTGACATACATCTATTCTGAATCTATATATGCATGAACACACACCCCCATTTAAATGCAACATGCACCGCATTCAGATAGATGCATCAGTATATACATGCAAAGATCTGCCGATGCACACATACACACAAACTCAAATGCATTATGCATGCAGTTCTGACACAATCATACCAATGTAAATATATAGAAAAATATACAGCCATCCATGCATTTAACTTGTCTTTGGATATGATAATATATACCAATACACATAAAAGCTTATAGCAACTTTTGCCTATAGTTTGAAGATAGTTATGTACATAGTTACACATGCATGCAAAAATATATTAATTGAAAGATAGGCATCTAACAGTGGTTGATCATTGGATTATTAGACACATAGTTACATAAAGGGAATGTAAGCTATGACCCATATGATCAGGGTATAGTCATAGGGGTCATCACTGTCCAGCTTGGAGTGGGTCATACAATTGATGGTGACATGTTTCACTGTCCAGCTCCCCATGATCATAGTGTTTTCATGATCATACTTCCAAATTTATGATCGGTCAAAAATCAATGTCTAAGATGGGTTTTTTTGGAAAGAGAACACACAGCGAAACTCATTCCAAAGAGTATACAAACGATTTCACATAGTTGGTGATTGCTTCTAATCTACAAAAAAAGCACCTACATCAATACATACTCTTCCATTTATTTGAACATTAGTTGTGATTATCCCAACTTAAATAAGAAAGACATGTGATTTTTCACGTAAGCAATAACAAAAACATAAGCAGAATGCTTAATAGTTTTATTACAAGGACCTACTGATTTCTGGGATCTATGTACTTGAAAGAAGTTTTGCTTTGTGATCAGTAAATGATGCCACTAAAGTTACAAGTATCAGACCAGAAATACGATATCTTCATATCAATAGTCGCAGCTCATGTTAGAAGGGAAACCAAAGTGAAGGAAATATACAAGAAGAGATGCTAGAACATACTTGATAGAGTTTGCTACAGAAGTAAGATACCCCTTAAAGTAATTCACTCTCTTTGTATCATTCAATGCATCTTGCAGTGATAATGACTCACCATCTTCTTCATCCATCCCTGTACGATGTATTGACCACAAGGACATGAATAAATTATATATGTGACAAGTGACTCTCAAATAATTAAAAAAAAAAAAAAAATCTGTTTCATTCAAAATTAAGAGATTCATTGCATGTGTAATTATACTACCATACGTAAAAGCCATTCATTTCATTGTGGTTATCCTTAATGTAGAATGAATAGAAGAAAATAATTCTCATTAAGGTTCTTCAGAAAATCAATTTATAGAAAGGAAAATAGATGAAGAAATGAAATGGGGACTCACCATTTTCAGTCACATATATTGGTGGTCTATCATATTTCTCGGTCATGTAGCTGATAACTTTTCTAATGCCCCAAGGAACTATGTAAAGCCACTCAGATGCAGCCTGCAAAAATATGGAAAGAATTTCAAGATATGCACGCTTAATAATATGCAAAGAATGCATGCATGAGCATGTATGCATATCAAGATGTGTGTGTGTGTGTGAGAGAGAGAGAGAGAGAGAGACTTACCCTCTCTCCAATTGCCTTTCCATCCCACTCAGCTGCAAAGACAATCACATGAGTAAAACAACCGCCATACAACAAAAAATTTGAGATGAGTTTTGAATCGCTCTTGAAATACCATTACCTATTCTCTCCAACTCTTGCTCATCATAGAAACCATTCCATTGGAAACCTCGAGAACATGGCTTGATGAATCTTGACGTGTAGTGATTCAGACCAACAAAGTCCACTGATCCTCGCAATAATGCAACCTCATCATTTGTGAATTTTGGAAGACGATCTCCGAGTTTCTCACGCATAATCGCTGGGTAGTCCCCAAAATATATTGGGTCGAGGAACCTGCACTATCTCAACCAAAAGCAATAGATTAATCCAGCAATAAGAAAAATAATGTAGAGCAAAATATAGAGGCCTGCAAAAAACGCATTATTTATCTAAAACTAAACTGATATGAATGGTATACTAAAGTAGAAAAGAATACCATCCAAGCTGAAATTCAACACGTCTTTGCGCAGCTTCTTTATCTTCTAATGAATCACTGAAAGGCTCGGCCCATTCACAGTCAAGTGCCAACCCTATAACACCACCTTGAATATCCTAGTACAGAGCAAATAACTCCCTAATTATACATCCAGAACTATTTGACTCATAAAGTATTATTGCTATTCATAGGATAACAAAAGAAGCTTCACTCATAAATACCATTTAACTTGTCGAAAACTACAAATAAAATGGGATCCCAATTGTACCATCCAAACAACAGAGACCAAACTCGTGGTCAACAACATCATAAAAAGAAACATTAGGCCACATGTAAGACTAAGTCATGCTATGCTGCACCCTAATCATATAAGTCATGAATGCGTTGCTGGTTTTTCTTTGTCTAATTAAGCCTCTGTAGAATAAGAATGGCCCTGGTTTATGGCAACAATCAAACATCAATTATTTATTTAACCATGATAATTTCCAATAACTTATGCAAGATTTTGGCTGGTTTTGACTGAAGATCAAAGATAAATCTAAAAGCTAATGAAAATTACAAATGGCAAAAAAGATTTTTTTTTTTCATAAGGCCAAACTACAGGATCAATGGCAATTTAAAGGAAAAAAAAAAAAAACTCCAAATACGATTGCATGGAATTCAGAATTGTCATTCATGTAATCATTGTTTAAGAACCTAGACTTGGGCTGGGACTAGCTAATGTCCCAAGCCTGAGACGAAGGCCAATTAAGCTGAGGTGAACAGCTTCACTTGGCCTAGTCTCAATATAAAAATCTTGGACTAGGGTCATTCTTACGCGATTGGTTAGTCATCTGGAGTTCTGGACCAGCATCCTGCCGATTTGAGTGACTCAGGCGAGTCCGAGCCCAAGTCAGAGACTTTTTGACATTGCATGGAATACTATGACAAACAAGCAGATATTTGAAGTGTTTCCATCAATGGAATGGATTTTTAACTGTTATATAAGCCATGGGGCTATCAATTAGCAGATTATTCTACTTAGTTGATTATTTTATATAAATAATCTATCAGATGTAAGAAAAAGTTCCAATTTTTAATGAAATTACCACCCAACAGAAAAAAATTTGATAAATGAAGGCCACAAAACTATATCATAAATTTTCTGTTATATGTATTAGGCCATGCAAATGATGATGCAGAACTAGAATACCTTGAACTTTCTCTTATACACCTCAACAGCTGCTGCATGAGCCAGAAGTTGGATATGTGCAACTAAGTAAGGTTCAGTTGATGAATCTCCAAGATCACTGTGTTTCCTATCTGAGCATCTTCCTGGAGCAAAAATTCCGGTACCATAGCCATTCACCGCAGTTTGAAGTGGCTCGTTGAAAGTGACCCAATGCTTAACTCTTTCCCCAAAAGCTTCAAAGCAAGTTTCAGCATACAGTGCAAAGCATTTTCTGGACAATTGCAACACAAATAAATAGTCTTCATTAGGTTCATGAGTCAAGCCATAGGATTATGGTACATCAATACAACCAAAACTTAAGAACAGACATTGTCAAACTGATCACAATCCAAATCTCACAAAATTAGAAATTGTGACCAACAAATACTCTGTCAAAATTTCACCCTGTGGGAGAATGCCAGCTATTCAAAAACCCTCTCTGGAAAATTGCCACAAATTGTTCATGTGTTGCTATATGAATCATTTAAAGACGCTCATGAGATAATTTATCAGTGGGCACTTTAATCATTTCAAGAACTACATAAGTCAGTTGCAAATGATTATTGCCATATAAGTGCCACCTTAGCACTTCATTCTACTCAATATTTCAGTGTGAGAAATATCTAGCATTTGGATTCATTCAACTCCTCGAGAGATTTGTGATAATCATATTATGTTTCATTTAGATATATGAAGTTCATTTACATTATAAGATTCATATGCACAAGTCTAGATGTGCCATATCAACATCATCATCATCCAAGCCTTATCCCAAATATTTGGGGTCAGGTACATGATCCATAAGTCACCCTATCACCATATCTCTGCTTTCTACTTCCATCCATGTCCTTTTGGGCCTTCCCCTTATCTGTTTAGAGTCTTCCACTTGAACCAATTTATTCCTCCTAACCAGTGTTGTATTAGGTCTACGCTGCACATGGCCTACCACCTAAGTCCACTTTCCCCCCTCTTATTATCTATTGGAGCTACCCCTAAGTTCCCTCCTATGTATTAAATATAGTTCAAAAAGTATATCTACAGAAATATATGGTATAGCTTTATCACAATAAATTTAACACAATAAATTTAACAAAAGATTTCTAATTACATAAGCTATTTATTTTTTGGACATTAATTATAAAGCATTTCATTTCAACATGTAAACTTGGTTGTGGGGATCAGAGGGGGCGTAAATTCACCTTTGTTCATGATGATTGAAGAAGGAACTTATGCAACTAATTGTTCTTGATCTCATGCATCTAATGATCTGGAAATGCAAGATCAAGCAAGGTCTCGGATGTTCCATTGTGCAGAAATTTCGTGTCCATAATATTCTTTTTCTTTTGTGTATCTTCTAAAAAGCATAAAGTGTTTGGTCTGGAATCCATATTTTAACATGCCAAACAAGAGCAATAAAATAAGAGATGATCACGCAATGTATCTTCATATATTGTCCCAGAAGAAGTGCATGAAACTTGGGTTGAATCCCATAGCTCAACTCAAAGGTGCCTGTCGTAGCTACCTTGAGGTTACTCGAACTGAGTTTACCTGCTGAAAACAAGAAGTTCATCAAAATTGAAACCGCATTGTCACAGATTTTCTTTCAGTAGGGTATGTGCGGTACATGCCCAAACAATACGTCAAGGCACTCAAAATCAGATGCTTGATTCTTAAGACCATTCATTGAGCATGAGTCTCTGCATATATCTACAGCTGGATCCTACCCAAAATGCATGAGACTTTGCATATATCCATGGTTTGATCCTACCCAATATACAACTGAACAATTGTTTCATGCGGGCCGGACTGCATTTCTACAATATGCAGTCCAGAGGTATAAAGCATCCATCTTAAAGATGGATGCAAATAGGTGGTCCATCTAAAAACAATTGTAAGTAACGGTCCAAATGTCTTCTTAACATAATTATTATTTCTAGTTTTAAAATTTTTATTTATTTTTTCATATTCATGATCTCCATATTAAAGATTATATATATACTCTAAAAATTAGGATCAAATTATATTTTAAAAAATATATTTATTGCCAAGCCCGCATTTATACAATATGCGGGCTGGCCGCATGCTAACCGTGTCCTATACAATTATACAAGTTCTCTAAGGCAGCAAGAGATAAAAAAGAACTACATATCAATAATAATAATAATGATAATAATAATAATAATAATAATAATAATAAAAGGAACTAAATATGTCATAAAAAGAAATCCATAGATCCCACCAAAATATCTACAAGGTACAAAGGAATTAAATATTTTTTATATATATCAGAAACTCACACAATATTCTTGCTAAGCCACCCATCCATTGTCTCATGAAGTTTATATGGAAGATCCCAGTGGTACAACGTCACAGAAGGATGAATGCCTGCAATAACCATCCACATTTTCACAAAACTTTGTTTTGTTGGATGTGTCTCAAAGGTCAAAACGAAAGAGCAGAAAATGACCTTTTTCTAGCAAGGCATCAATGAGATTGTTGTAGTAGGTAATTCCTTCTTTGTTTACTTCAGTACCAAACCCATCTGCATGTATGACAAACAATCAATTTAAATAAAAAATTAGCACAGCCCAATGATTGTACCACCAGCTAAGGCCAACAATGATACAAAACCTAAAATATCAATATTGCAGTAACAATGATAAAAACCTATAAAATCAACATTGCATTAAATAGCAGTGCAATATTCACAAATCTTGCCATTTTTAACAGGACTGGACCAGTTATTCAACCAACGAGGACATTGATCATGTCGAACTGGTTGGTTTGCAGGTCAGACCTGTTTGGAAAATATGAATAAAACCCAGTTTGAAGGACCAGTTCAGACCATTTGCTGGTTCAGTGGACAGATCAGATCAATTCCAGGTCCGGTTTGAACCGGTTGGAGCGGCCATTCCCGTCCTGTCTTAATAACATTGACCTCAACAGCTAATCGCAATTGCAATAGCAACCAATAACAAAGGTGCTGATAATCAAACAATAATTACTAAAGCTACAAATATGACAAATTTTAGGGCAATTTGAGATCCTCCTCTTCTTGAAACAACAGGACTACATAAAACATTATGAAAGTGAGTTATGCACTGATCTAGCACATGAAAATTCCCATTCAAAAGGGGGAAATTTTTTCCAAAGGAACATGTTACCTCTTTCGATAAGATAATTAGAAAAGATACAAAACCAAATAGAATACCAGGAAAGATACGAGGCCAAGATATGGAGAAACGATATGCATCAAATCCCAATTTGGCAATAAGTTCGACGTCCTCCTACAATTATTAAATGCAACACCAAATTGATAATTCAATAAATAGAAAATACATGTGAATAATGTTAATACTAGAAAGATAGAGCCAACAAGCACTACTTGAATTTGTGATCTATATTGGCCAAGAAAAATTTTATTGTTCATGCATCTTTGAAAAGGCATTCCATTTAAATTGATATCTAACTATAACATGATTTTAATATGATAGCAAACAGAAATTCTATGAGGTTAATAGAATCTCTCACACAGCTGGGTGATCTTGGTTACAATTCTGAAAGAACCTCACTACATGTTTCACACAGCAAAGACTTTATCCTCAATGGTCGGGGAAGCTAGTGAAAGTTTGATATTAGCTCCATAACCTAAAAGGCCTGAAATAATGGACAAATTATCTCTATGGGCTTAAAGAATTTGATCCCTACTTTTCCTTACATAAATAGAAGTATATCCCTGCACAATTTATAAGAAATTGAGAACAATTCTTTTACAATTTTAAAGTCCCGAATGTATATATTCAGCATCTGACATAGCCTTTACTATTAATCAAATATCTTTTCACATGCATAAATGGCCAAATGAGCATTATAAAGCAATGAAGGGGATATAGTGATACATCAATTCCTTGTCAAACATCATCATCATCCAAGCCTTATCCCAATTATTTGGGGTTGCCTATATGAATCATATTCCTCCATTCATAGGTCCAGGATTCATGATATGATGTGGATAATTTTACGTTGGCTGCCTATCTAACGCGACCCACCTCTTTGACCCGGGCTTGGAACGAATTAAGGGAAAGTTTAAGGTCCTCACCCTTATCAAACCATTCTCCTAGACAAACACCAATGGGTAAATTTCCCAAATGACACAGATTTCAACCTGAGTACCCACTTTAATGGGATCGATAAAGAGAAATGCTGCACATTTAGGTGTGGTTGTAGATTTCAGCAATTGATCTGTTGCAGTGGACATGACATGGCCATACGACATACTTGAAGATTGAAAATGGTGAAGAACAAACCATCTATTATTATGCCTAATGCTACCATACGAGAGATACTGGTTACTACAAATCAGAATTTCACACAAGAATGCTAAGTGTCAACACAGATAATCGTCTCATTAACGAAAATGAATCAGCATAAGCACATAAAAATCTTTTCACATAAAAGGATCAGAAAGTGTGATATTTTGCCAACAGCACTTTAAATCGACAAGTAGACATCTATATACAACAAGCTTTCAATGCAGGCACCCTCTCAGCTCGAGGAGAGTAAATAATATAGGTAAATGATGTATTGTGGTAATATATCGCATTTGATGTTGGTGTCTTTCTTATTTTTTGTCAGTGGTTCCCTTAAGTACATATAAATATACATGTGAGGCTATCTATGTCCATAAGCACATATAAATATACATGTGAAGGCTATCTATGTCCATAGCCCAAAAGTAAAGGTTAAAGGTATAAGCACCACCACTATGATAAAAAGTTTCCTATTAATTCGATATGCACTTTTGAAACATTAAAAACCACCATTGCACCCACTTCCAAGCATTCATGCATCATGGTGCGTAACCACATGTCCTTTAGTAAGAATTAATAGCCAAAATTCAAAAAGAGGCCAAAAGGCAGAGCATAGAACCAAAAGTCAAGATTCCAATAAGCAATAGATAATGGTGAGGTGCTTGGTTCACAGGAGGAAGGTCCAGGTTTCAAGCTTCCTTTTTGCAAACTAAGCAGACCTACACAGAAAAAAAAGAAAAGAAAAAAAAAAAACAGAAGAAGAAAAAAGAAAAGAAAAGAAAACACAGATAACACCAAGAACCTGAATTTATATAAAATGAAGTGTGTGTGTATATATATATGTGAGAGGCCTCACATCAAAATGGGTATACACTGTTGTTGTTGTTTTAGTAGAGCAGACTAAGATGCATACAAATGTAAGCGAATGTCCTAAACACTTGATTGGTACAATTTGATAAATATCTAAAGTTTCAAAGCTACCGCAGACTGAGATAACTGTGAAAACATAATAATATCAACTTTTCCTAGCAATTAGAACAAATAGTTTCCAAATGAAGTATAGTGAAACCTTTGATAGACTAAATCAACATTACAAAGAGAGAGCTAAAGAATAGAAACATAGTTTATTCATCAATATAGATGAGGAATTCCAAGATAACATATAAAAAATCCATCCCAAATATTCTAAATATACCTTTGACAAGGAACTCCAGAAAAGCATATAGCAAATCCATTTCAGGTAAAACAAAATAAAATTTTAAGCATAATAGCACCATGCTCATTATTTGTTTCTAATACAGTGGTACTAATCAAACGGAACTTCTAATGAAATAGGAATAGATGATAGAGACTATGCCTTGTAACGATGGTAGTGGTCGACTGCAACGTCCCCATGGTCTCCATTACGAATTTTGCCTGATGCATATGTCAAAGATGGATATAGGAAAACCCAAAAGGAGTATATGAACAAATGAAATATATAACAACTTAACCAAAGAAAAAAACGTCTAAACAAACAAACAATAGAATCTCAATAAGAAATGCTAAACTGAATAGCTAAAATGGCATATACCTTCACTGTGTGAAAAAATGTCCCATATACTAGGTCCCTTACCCCCCTCATTTGTAGCCCCTTCAATCTGCAGATTGGGTATTCCATCAAGCAAGTCTGTGAGGTCTCATTTTGCAATGGTTATCTTTTCATTGTATTATTGAAAAGGAGGATAACAAACTTTCCAAGTAAAATGAAGGTAACTTCATAAAGCATGTCAGTGCGTCTCACAATGGTGCTCTTATCATGGTATTCATTAGCTTACACAAGATAGCTATACCTCTATTCAAAAGAAGGAGAATATAATTTCAAAGTAAAATTAAGGAAACCACAAAACCATTAAGCATGTCACGAATGCCCCACTTTGCAACAGTTATTTCATATAAAATGTAGTGTATATATATATATATATATATATATATATATATATATGAGCGGGGCTTGCCAGGGTCCCGAGCCTGTGCCAGTCTGACAGACTTGGCCGGCTCCCATGTGTGTGCTTCCAGATTTTGCAAACCTGCCATAACCAACTAACCCGACTTCTCCAACACCGATTCAACCAATATAAATACATCTATACTGAAAGGAAGGAGAGTACAGCTTTACAGTAAATAAGGAAAGTGGTACAGTCAGATTGCAAGTATGAGTTGTATGGAAAAATGAAGTAAAAACAAAAATTTTAAGGCGGGAAAATATGATTTGAAATGCATGAAAGGGGAAATAAACTGGAGAATGAGGGATGACTGTTGATACATACAGCAAAGATGAACTCTGAAAAAAAATAACAACTAAATAGGAAATTAAAGGGAAACAAAAAGTAAGCCCCAATGATGAGGTTATAAGAAACCATGACTGCTCAAGCTAAGTGAAGCCACCAAATTTAGACAGAGAGAGAGAGAGAGATGTCCAATGAGTAGTACCTGGTAAGAGAGAGGAAGAAAAACGGTTAGAGAGAGAGAGAGAGAGAGAGGAGGACGAA